AAATTAATACAAAATTAATTATTTGTTTATATCTAAATGATTAATATTCGTGCATGACTGCTATAACACATACCATACTATATAAAATATTGCTACAATATTTTATTACTGCTTTTGTCATTATATTAATAATTAATTTCTGTGATTCACAATTTTTAATTTATTTATTTTTTTTGTTTTTTCCAATTGAAATAAATAATTCGTGGCATGGAATATTTTTTAAGTAATTAAGATGAAGCAAAAAGTCATAGTTTTGAATTAAAAACCAAGTATTGCTTAATTTGTTTCTATAATACAGAATAGTTAGAATTTGTTTTTTGATTATTTTGTGTACAACTCAAGAACTCAAATTAATTTAAAAAATTATTTAAATTTATAGAAATTTCATTCATAAAGCATTTTATAGAAATTTCTCACAGACTAATAGACATACATATGTATATATATATTAAATGCTTTCATTGTTCTTTATCTTCTCTCTCTCTATATCATAAGTCCTCAAAGTCATTTCTTTGAGAGCATTTTCGACGATTAATTAAATCGTGTTAAAATTTTTTACAAATTATAGCTCTAAGGGTTTGTTAAATATTTTTAATATATTATTAAAAAAAAAGATTTTTAAAAGTACTAAATATATTGTACAAAAATATTTATTATTCAAAGAGTAGTAAATATAGAAAAAAACATATTAATAATGTTTCGAGTTACTTAATATTTTCATATTTTCACTATTTATATTCTATTATGTAGGGTTTTCTTTTGTTAGAAATTCTTTTAAATTTAGTCTAACCAATATAAATGATAAATTATAACGAAATCTTCATTTAGCAGCTACTCCTCGTTTATGGTCAAGTACCGTTAACATATTCTGTCAGTTAAATAGATTTTCTTAGCTACTCCAAAACTATTCAGACTTATTCAAAAGCAACAATAAATCTTAAAATAATATTATCTTGAACGTTCTTGTTGTTGTAACCCGCAAAGATCTATCCAACAGACAACATAAAAGTAATTACAAATCCGTTTATATTGGTAAGAATGTGGTTAACTGATTGTAGACTTAGATTATAGAACTTAGGGAAATATGAGTAAAATGGTTTAAAAATGGAAGAATATCAAATTTTATACACACTTTATTTTAATTATAGGCGAATAATACTCAATACCATCAAAATCTACTGTCAATTAAATGACAATATAAACTTAAAAGTCTTATAAAAAATCAAATCCCATGGAAGTTATAGTAGTATCAGACTTTGGACCATACTCTGCATATCGTATAGGTTTAATACAATAACGACTACGTTATTATGGACACTAAGTGATTAATCTTAGATTAACAGTACAATATTGTTTTTGTTTTTGTATTTTTTTAAACTAATTATTGTTCTAATTAGATTCCGTAGTTTCATTGTTCTTACAAAGTAAGAACTTTATTTGCGCTTTGAAATGTGAATATATTAATTTATGCATATTTATATTTTTTTCACATATTTCTTATCAACAGAATAAACAAATAGTCTTTGTAGTTTTCCTTATATATAAAATAGATGTAATGTGACTATTGTCTAAAACTTTAAATTGTATAAAATAGCATTTTATTTAATAGATATTTATTTATATGAAATATGATATAAAGGGTGTTTTTTAAGAGGTATAATTAGATAAATATTATATATTAGATATTAGATAATATTAGATAATTACAATATGACCTTATAATATGGCAAATGATTTCAAGCATATGGCTGCAATAAGGGTTGTCATTATCTAGTATATAATTTTATGCAATTATTGATCATTTAAAATTTCAAGCATATTTTTCATATATTAATATCTAAATGTTCATATTTTTGAGATTTTATTCAGCAAAAAACTTTATTTAGATTATTTAAAATTATTTAGAATGTAAGATTGTGATGTTTAGGCGTATGGCCGCAACGAAAGCATTTTAAGAACCATGCCATGGATGTCTAATTTTTTTTCACTTGAAACTATGAATCATTTAAGACTATGAATTCTGAAATCATAACTGCCTTGTCGGCATGGACCAATAATCTCAAGTATCTCCACATAAAATAGTTTTCGTTATGATCAATTAGTATCTTTCTCGACATTATTTTTGTTAGAGACCCATCTTTCACCCCTCTTTTCAAGTATGTGTATTATTATTAAAATTTTTTACCGCTTAATTTCATATATTAATATAATCGTTGCTATACATTTTTATTGTTATAATTTTTTAGTTACCTATACTCCTGTAAATAAACTGTTTTTCACTTTTTTCAATTACTTCAATATGTTTTTCTGTTAATGAACTTTAATATTTAATATTATAAGTATATTAATCATTTATTCTTAAATATAGTACCAACTGTTTATCTTAACAATGACAGACAATTATGAACCAGACAATATGTGTATATAAAGTATCTTAAATGAATATTCATATCATTACTCATTTGCACATATGGAATCTTCAATATTATTCATAATTTTATTTCTATATTTATTTAAATAACCCTTCACCAAATATTTACATATTACAATACATATTCTATAAAAGTAACAGACTGGATAAAGAATATCTACTATTGCACCTCTAAAAATGTATTCCTTATATGATTATAAAGCTTATTAATCAGCCTAGTCTCTAACACGGATTCATTAGTACCTGAGCTAAGGCATTTCTGTTCTTGTAGCCCACAGAGATCTATCAAGCAGAAAACATAAAATCAATTACACAGACATGGTATAATAAAAAAGAAAGGGATTGTTTAGGCATAAAAATGGATTGTGGATCAATTAATGAACTTACCCTATCCAGGTAGTCAGATTACTTACCAAAACTAATTTTAATTATCACCTCGGAAGTTTGAGATATCAAATCATATTTCTGCAAATTACTATTAGGTGCCAATTTCTATTTGCTGTTAGACAAAGGAAACTTATTAATCATATTAGTCTCTTACGAGCATTCACTAGTACCTGAGCTAGGGCATTTTTGTTGTAATAACCCGCAGAGATCTATCAAACACCAAAAAAAAAGCAATTACACAGACATGGTGTAGGATGTAGGTACGTGAAAGTAGGGTGAGAAAGGAGAGGATTATTTAGGAGTAAGAACAGATTGGGGATGGGATTCAAATTGCAGTCAACCAGGGTCAATGCAAAGAAATCTAACCATTGTTAAGATATTCGAGAAACTCGATTTAAGTATCTCTCATCAAATTTGTCGACTAATATATTATCTATCTATCTAATCTATCTGTATATCTATATTATATATTTTAAATTTTTTTTAAGCGCATAGAAACTGAAGTTCAACCTTATGTAGCACGAATTCTTATGGCCCGTTCTCTACTAGAAAGCATAATACCAGCATTTGTGAGTTTATTTATTGGTCCTTGGTCAGATAAATTTGGAAGGCGACCAATAATTTTAACAACATTCACAGGTAAACATTATTGTTATTATTACATTATAAATACTACAAAAAGTAAATTATAAAACCATTTTCAGGTTACTTCTCCGGGTTTGTGATACTGACTACCCTTGCGTTTTTATCGACTAAAGTTGTGATATCTCCATGGTTATTTTTACTATCATCCGTACCATCTGTATTAAGTGGTGGTACTTGCGCGCTCATAACTGGTATTTATTGTTACATATCCGATGTTGCGAAACCAAAAGTAAGAGCAGTACGGTAAGTATCAGATTATACCATATTATATTATACCATATTTGTAAAAAAAGAATTTATTAATTATGATTGAAATTTATATTTATAGTATGGTTCTTAATGAGGCTTCACTTTGCGCTGGCATGATGATTGGTAATGTAGCCAGTGGCTATATATATGGCGCTACCAATGTGGTAACAGTTTTCTTTATATCAGCCATATTTATGGTGTTAGCATTACTTTATGTCTATATTTTCGTGGTGGAAAGTCTTACTGTAGAACAGATACACCCTGGCGTAAGTTTTTTAAATTTTATTTAATTATTATTATTTAAATGTTGTTTTTGACATTGCAGTCTAAAATACGTCAATTTTTCCGTTTCGATTTGGTGAAAGATCTTGTACGTACTTGCTTCGAAAGACGACCAAGCTATGATCGTGCAATTATTTGGTTAACAATGATGTCTTTGACAATAGCCATATTTACTATGGGCAAGTTAAACTATAAAAGAGTTGATGTTAAAAATATATAATTATTATTATTTTACAGAGGGTGACAATAATGTTACATATCTTTTTGTGCGGAAGAAGTTTGATTGGACTCTGAAAGACTACAGTTTATTTAGTGCTGCTCGCATTGTAGTCCAAATTGTAGGCAGTATTTTTGCCATGATATTTTTAAAAAGGGTAAATATTATACATTATTTTTATGTCATATAGAAAAGTATATAATGTACAACCTACGTTTTATATTATATATAACATTCTATTTAGAAAACAATCTGCATTGATATTAGTATATACCGCAAGGTGTTATATATTACATAGATTTATGATCATGCAGATACCACTATATTCATTTGATTGCGATGTTGTAATGCTCGCAACTCGCTATCTGTACTGTCAACGTAAGTAGGTGAGGTGGAATTAAAATCGAATCCTTCTTAATAAGCTAAGAAAACCATTTTGATTTCAAATTGCTCTTTATTGTTTGTATAAAGTTGGGCATATTAGAACCAACCGGACGCATTAATAAATGCAAGTATGCAGCCAATAACAATGCTAGAAATATCACCAAGTGTACTAAAGAAGAGGGCGCCTAAAACTTAGGACTGGTTCTGGCCAAATCTGATCATAAACACTTCAGTTGGTCCGATGTCTTCTCCTTGAACGCCGGTGGACATATTTTACAGAAGATTCGACATGTCAGGCACGAATAGTTATTAGGTTTAAATTTTGTCTGTGAATATAAATATATATCTGTTAGTGAAAAACTGAAAATGTTGGAAAAATCTAATCAAAACCTATCCGGTAAAAACGCTGTATTAAGACCTGATATCTCTTCTGCACAGCTCAAGAAGTCTTTGTATCCTCTTGTATCCTCTTGATACCAGAATGTTTATTACTTAGTTATATTAAAAATAGTTTGAAAAGAGTTTCTTTATCAAGTACACAAAATATTTAAAAATAGTGCAGAAACTAATGAGGAAATAAATAATAATAGGAGGATAATAAGAGGAAATTTAAAGGGGCTCATCCCATTTGTATTCAGTGCTTTTATAATGCGTTATAAAATCAAGTAATTTTTTCTCATCTAAAAATGTTTATATTTTAAGGTATTGAAGTTCTCTATAATTACTATGACGATGATTTCTTTGGCTTGCTGTGTGCTTGAAAGTACAGTACGTGCCACTGCAATCGTTTGGTGGGAAATGTACTTAGGCCTGAGTTTAGGTTTTATGCGCGGCATAATGGGTCCTATGTCTCGTGCGATTTTATCACATGTTGCACCAGCAACTGAAGTTGGTAAGTGCTCTTATATTATTCTTTAGTTAAAAAAATTATTTTTTAGTTAAAAAATTATTAATTAATTTTTTTAAAGGTAAAATATATGCTTTAACAACATCTCTGGAGTGCGTATCACCACTTGGTGCAGCTCCTCTATATACTTTAGTATATAATTTAACGCTATCATATTATCCTGGAGCATTTAACTTTATAAGTGCTGGACTTTATCTACTATGCTTTACATTAATATCGTAAGTTATTACTCACACGAGTTTTTTTTGTAATCTTCATATATCAATAAATAAATTTTATTTAAAGCACAATTTATGGCATACAAAAATCGATGGGTAGTACTGCTGCTTATGAGGCTATCGGAAGTTAGTCACAATTTTAGATACATTTTAATCAGGATTAAATTTTAGAAACATTTTATCGTATCAAAGTGATCTTTCTTTATGACTATAGTATTTGTATAATGAAATTTATAAATCTATTAAATGTATATTTAAAATAAGATAATTTAAATATTTTTGGAGAATTTGTAAATTATGTGTGATTGTAAATAGATTTTTAATTATTTAACCAATTGTAACACAAATTGTAATTATTACTTTACGTTATTAAATAATAGTTAAATTTATGAGCTTTAAATATTCAGGAATATACAAAAAGAAATATTATAGTAAAAAAATAGTTAATAATTAAAAAAAAATAAAATTAATTAATTAATATAAAAATATGGTTTCTTTTTATTGCTATTATTTTTTTATAATATTTATATATGGGTTTATTGGGCTATTTAACAAAACGCAAATTTATAATTTATATTTATATTTTTATATTTATATTTATATTTATATTTATATTTATATTTATATTTATATTTATATTTATATTTATATTTATATTTATATTTAATTTATATGTAATTTTATTAATTTTATATTTATATTAAGTTAATTTATATTTAATTTAATTTTATTAATATTATTTTATAATTATAATTTTATTTATAATTTTTTAATTTTTAATATTAATATTTATATTTATATAATATTTATATTTATGATTATATTTATATTTATATTTATAATTTATATTAATTTAATATTATTTTATTATATTTATATTTTTATCCGTTATTATTCAAGGAATTTTATTTATTATATTATTTCTATAAATGTTTAATATGTTTTAACATATAATAAGTTAATAATAATAATTTATATTTGGTTGAGAGGTTTCGAGTGGCATATTTAGTCATTCAATTAATTAAAATAATATAATAAATTTAATTTTTGTTGTTGTAGCTCACTACTTTTCGAAACCTCTCTATGAAATTGTTTTTTTATAGATAACAATTTTATATATAACGGTTATATATAATTGTTTTAAAAAATGTTGACTTAATTTATGGTAAAAGTAGAAATGCTGTCTCTAAAACATACGGTCAGATATGTTCTAATATAACGTAATTTATTTACAATAATTTTTTTTAAATCCTGTTGACTTTAAAAAAATCTCACCATTTTCACCATTAACAGTGATGGAATTCATATAGACTGAAGATCCGTTATGATACCTTTTTAGCTCCTTCTAGCGAACCCAAATATTTTTCAATAGAAACCAATAGTTAGAAACAATATTTGAATTAGCCTTTAAATCGAAAAGACTTTTAACTATATATTTTAACTATATATATATATATATATAACTAAATATATAAAAACAAATTATTTCTAATACACATTCATAAGAGTTGCGTTTACGATTGATATGGAAATATCGTAGGAGTATGTAATTAAAAAAGTTAATTAATTCTAAAAGTTAATTAATTTACTTTTTATCGAAATATTTACGTACAACAAATGAATCATTGATGTTCTCGCGTACGTATTTTCCTAAGATATTTTTAAGTTTTCGGGTTTCTAAATAAAAGCTAAAAGTTGTGGATGATTCATAAAATGTATGAATTAAAATATTGATTTTGTATCCGAAATATGTAATATAAATATAATGCCTTTTTATCTTTTTAAATTTTCTATAATTATATCAACTTAGCACGCTTAGATGTTTAATGTATTTAAGTTATCTATAGACCGTAACAATAAGGTCGATAGTTTTTTACCTTATATTATAAAAAGTATATGTGATATAGTATTGCAAATCGTAATTTAACATTAAGTTTATATGTTATATATTAATAAGTAGAAGAGCTTTTTAATTAATAATTGTATAAAATTAATTCCTTTTAAAATCCTGTTCCAATGACAACTGCATTGCTTCGTGATGGGTCCCGGTGTGTGAAAGACACAAAGATAAGGAAAGTTCTGACTGCCTTCCCTAACATCAATTAATTGGACTTGAGCTATTCTATAGTTTTGTGCAGAGACACATTATGGAAAAACTGAAGTTCTAGATGAAAACGTAATTTGAGAATAACTGGATGAACTACAAAGTTCAAAAAAGTCTAAAATATTCATAAACTTATTCAATGCGGTCTCCAATGGACAATTTGCACTCAGTAGAGAGTATAGCAAAGTTCTCACAGCGAACAGATCATTGTTGGTCTGATGATCTTCACTGTACCTTAGTACCGTGGATGAAATAAAATCATCCCTGTATTCAGGTTCATTAAAACCTTAACAAAAGTCACAGGTTATAGTATTACCTACATAATAATAATATATACATTGACAAAATAGCTATTTCGAATAAAAAAGTGATTAATTAATAGTAAAAAAATTGAAATAAAAAAATTAATTTTAATTCAAGTACATTACGATAAAGATTACGATAAATAGTATAAAAAAACTCGGGATTTAAAAATATAAGTATACTTATTGTGTAGTATCGATGTTAAGATATTTTAATATTTACTCATATTTATAGAGCCATGAGATTAACTTTCAAATGATTAAATGTTTACCGATACATACACACAAGATCACTTTAAAAACATCTAATGGTATCTTAAAAATAAGATTAGTGAATAAATAAAAATCTACAGCTAAAGCTAAAGTTGGACATCAAACATTTAGAAGAAGTAGTCTATGCAGACGATGGCTTTCAAAAGCGTTCAGGTCTACGTTCCAGAGCTATTTCTATAGACGACCAATTACTGTTTACGAACTTATAACGACTGCTTTTCAGTCGTTAAAGACTACCATTTTTTATAAGACTATCTTGTAAAGAAATAATTAATTATATTTTAAAATGAGTTATAAATCCACGAGTACGAGTACATAACAAAATTTATAGGTATTTTAGAAAGCGAAGAAGTTATTCCATTTAAATAAATTTGATATCCATGAAATATATTGTGTGGGTTTAATATTTTCTATATTTAGAAATCACTTATTAATCCAAATCTCTATTTAATAATTTAACTTTATTTATTTACGTTTATTTATTTAAATCGTCTTTCACGCACTACTTGACAATAAAATTGTATATTTCATTGGCAAATAAAATCGTATTTGTAAACATTTTTTTTAATTTAACTGAATAATTTCATTATTTAATTTATGTGAGTAAATAAAGCTTTTATCTTTAGAATCGTGTTTTTAGTGTAAATAAAGAAAAAAAAACTAAATAAGAGAATTGTAGTGAAAATTTACTGTGTCGAATGTTGCCCCGACTAGAAAATTATAAGAGGTAGTGCTCTTAAATGCGGTTTATTATCAGTGTTAAATTAAATTGAGAGGGCACGTGTTAATACAAATATCAGCAGTTTTACTGAGAGATATATATTGTGCAATGTGATACCTTTAAAGTTTCTAAGGAGAAGCATGCTTCTCTAATCACCACATTTTCAGTTGTGTTTAAAAGATCCAATAAATGTACCATTGTTTTCTTAAACGATCTGTTATATATTAAAGAAGTCCCCTTGTTTGTAGCTCTAAACAAAGACATAGAAAATAATTAAGGAACTACCTCTTATCTTACTCACCATGGAAAGACTTGCACAGTACACTTGTCCGAATACACCACAGTTGAAGCCTCAATGATCAGTTTTGGTCAGCACCAGTCACCAGTTTTAGTAAGATTCTGTAAGCACCCGTACTGAAAATCGATGCAGAAGCACGGTGTCCAATTTCTGCAAGACCATGTAAGCATCCGAACTGCAGGTTTGCTAAAATATAAAAGAGATCATCATTAAAATAATTTTTTTGGATTTTTTTTGCGCAAATATATGTGTTTAACAGTCCTCTACGAATAAATAGATCTATTAAGGTATCTTGAATCTTGTTTAATATAAGGGGTGAGTAATTTGCTATAGATATATAGGTATACAGAAGTCTTGCAAGATGTTAATATATTTTATGAAGGAGAAAGAATAGAAGTCAAAAAAGATGTTAATATATTTTATAGATAAATAGCTTAACGATATCAAACCACAAACCGTAAACTGACTGAAGCCTGGATATAAGAAAAGTGT